CGTAAACAAGGTCAAACAACTTCTATACAACGAAAGGAGACTGCGACCACACAAAAGGCCACACCATCTTTGCTTTTATACCTGCGAGTATAAATTATTGTTTATCTAGTTTATTAATTGTTGGCTTCGTTACACTGTTCTGGCTGACGCAGTTCACGAAACATCCTCCCCTTTTTGCGTGAAAACGGACATCATCTGGGCTGAATCTCCTTCTCTCAGCAGTTTCAAGTTTTTATCAAATCAAGAAGCCTCATCATTGTCAGCAAATAGCGAAAAACCTGTCAAACAGACAGGCGACGTGCATTCCGTTCCCTCCCTCCATTGTAGCCTCAGCTACCTCATCTCATCGTCTCCTTCTCCAGCCATCACAACCTCCTGCTTGGTTATATCTGACCCACTCCAACGGTGGGACCTGAGTTGATTTCGTGTGGCCGGAAAGTCTCATGACTGCCATGGCAGCTGAGTCCTGTACAAGGTGTGCTCATCGAGGTCGCCATGACACGCCTCGACCAAGCCGCGAGAGCCCTCATGTCCAAGGCACTTGCAGCCTCACACAAGGGCACCATGTGACCTCGCTCAACCCCCACCCTCGGGCGGCTCGTGCACTTGGGCCGTGCGCGTTGCTTCTTTCGTCTTGACGCGCCGGAGTCACCAGGCCGGGCAGATCCAGGCCCCTGATTGGCTCCCGCCAAGGCCTGAGCAGCCTCAACAGCCAACCGATTGGCGAGCCGGTCAATCAGCAGTGAAGGCTGCACCGACTGCTCCGCTTGTCTACGAGTGCCCATCCTCTTTCTGCACGCTGCCGGCAGTCATGGCGCCAGACAAGCCCTTATCTTGGGCCAAGTGTGGGTGAAGCCTGAAGCCGAAGATAGGCCGACGAACGAACGAACGAACAGTCTATTCTGCCAGTGTTCGGTTTGTGCTGACTCTGCCCTGCCTGCCTCGCGTGGCTCACCATTTCGCCTCGTCTCGTTCCGCCAACCGTTTGGGGCATTTACACTCTGAGGCTCGGCATAGGCCTCACAATCTGCCCCACTTTGCGTCGTGCCGTGGCGTGCCGCGACGTGCTGTGCCACGCCGCGCCACGCCGCCCAGTCCTAATGGCCTGAACGTGCTCTCACGTATTGATCGCAAGCAGACCAGCGACTGACCAATCAGGACTAGGCTGAAGTGAGCAGGAGGCGACCTCTCATTGGCTCTCGTGCCGGTTACGTATAGGCTTTGGCGCACCGTGTTGGCCTGACGCAATCAGGGCTCAGGCGCTAAACGCCGTCTGAGTCATTGCCGCCTGAGACGTACGGGCTTCTGGTTAGCCCGCCCCGAGGATTATAGTGTATCTTTCGCCGGTTCTCGTGCCCATCTCCGTTTAGGCTCAAAGCACCAGCATGTCTGCCCGCACCGTGGATCTACGCGATGAACTGTTTGCCAAAGACGAGTTAATTCGCAGTCTCGAGCGT